CGTTTCAGTGGCAAAGGCCACTTCATCGTTTCAGTGGCAAAGGCCACTTCATCGTTTCAGTGGCAAAGGCCACTTCATACTTTGGCGATTGCATAAACGGCCCATTTGACGCCACAAACTGTTTGCAGGGAAATAAGCTTGAAAGGGGCGCCGCTCTTGCAAATTTACAGCAGAATAGTGGATGTGATTCTATAAAGCCACATCCGGGTTCACTTTTGCACCTCACATAAGCCAGCCATGAGAGCACTTATACAGAGTCTCCAACCTTGTACGCGTGTCTTTTCTTCAACAGAAAATACCTAAGAAGAAGCCAGCCAAGCGGAGCCTGTTCAGGTGGAGGAACCCCCAGCCGTTGTTTGTGGACCCAGATGAGACGGGCCTGCAAGTTTACGACAGCCTCTTCCAGCGCACGTACGCTAATCTCTTGGATTCGCTGGAGAGGCGGGAGGATACCTTCTATGTTGTGTCTTTCAGGAGGGTAAGTTGCACTATCAATCCTCTTACCCACGAACCATTATCGTGCCTGTATCTACACATTTCCACATCGATGCAGAACTTCTAAGATGGAAGGTGACGACGGACAGAGCACACNCTTGAAATCCATCAGATGCAGAACTTGTTCTTTTCGCATCAACCATGTTGTCTTTGGTTTCCCAGGATCACACGCTGTTGCCTGCCACAGCCCACAACAACACCCAGAGGCCAAGGATGTCCCTGGTCATGCCCTCTGTAGGCGTCAATGGTAGGTCCCCCTCTGAAATTTGCCTCAGACATAGTCACATTCGAAAGAGTTTGTGTCCCTAAGCAGGGCATTTTATCAGGAGTGTTGCTTTTAACTCTGAAGGTTAGTGCCAGTGTATCTACTGTGCTCTGTCCAGAGATGTCATGCATCGTCCCAATTTTTTCATTTCGGTTGACGGAGCAATATAATCCTCTCTTCTGTCTCCAGAATCCTCCTTGAACCAACCCAAGGACCGCATTTCCATGATGCAGATTGACTGTGAGGTCATGAACACCAAGATGGTGTACCTGAAGGAGAGCCACATCCCCAGCACCCAGAACACGACTGTCACCAACCACACAGGGACAAAACCCACGACCCACGGTGGAGCACAGAGGATGACGGCACCCACGTCGGACAGCACAACAAAATTTCACCATCCAAAGAACCTTTCAGCAAGGGTGCCTCTCTCCTGAACCCGAGTACGCTTACCAAAAAGAAATAGTGGTGCAATATTTGAAGAGGTGGAAACAACGGGTGATAATGCTAAGAGACACAAACAGACAGGCACACACGTGCAGTGATACACAGCCTGATAAGTACCGTCATTCAGAAATGCTCGTATAAAGTGATCAATGCGGAACAGGTACTTTCTTTGTTGGAATCTCTGGAAATGAAACAAGTTGGGTACCAAGACTGGCTCTTTGTCTCAGCAAAGAGGTGTTCCAATTACAGATGGAACGTTCAAGCCCAACATCTGGTGGGAAGCGTTGGTCAACTTTTGTCAGAAGCGGCACTGCAAGTGTCAATTTTACACCGACTTTACTTAAGCATTCCTCACAACCACACATGCATCTCAGTAGAATTTGTGTAAATTTTTCACCGGCTTTATTTTCATTTCCTCACAATCATACATGAATCTCAGTAGAATTCAGGTTTGTAAATATGGCAATCTGTTGTTAAGAGTCCCATCAATTCATAGACATAGACTAGAGCAGCCGGCGTCACTTTGGCCTGGTTGGCAACCTCGATGCTACTTAGACGTGATCGAAACTTTCCAAACCTTGACTATTTTTGTATTGATATAATGTACTTGATGCCAGACAGTGCCTTCACAAAAGGGTGGCATTCTGGTATGTAGTGAAAAGACAGTGCCCACCAAACAGTATGCAGTAATGTTGGCCACGAACAAACTAATTTATGTTCCAAGTATTTCGCTCTAATAATACTACTTCAGCTTCGGAATTTTTTTCTGGAATATGAGACGACTTCGAGAATGAGACCTTATTACCGTGCTGAATACTGTTAGGTTTGAACGACAAACTCTTCCAAATCTGAACTTGCTGTATATTCTCTTTGCCATGCCTGATGTATCCCATAATACTGAGTTGGTTAGGAAAAATGTGTGCTAAGCAAATCGCATTGTGGCTCGTAGCCTATTACCACTTAGCAAACATCTGTGCTTAGGAGACTTCTGTGCGGTTCAGCTCCAGAAAGATTGTGCACAGAGAGTTCCTCTTATTTGAAATTGGAGTGGTAAAAAATGTGCAGCGAAATCATTTTGTGGAGGGCGAAAAATTGGTAAGTTGCAGGTACACACCCAAGAGACCAAAGCTTACAAAGCCTCAAGTCAAGTCTCTCTGGCCTTGGGACACGCCATAAATGCGTATAAAGCACCATTTCTCAACCTCCTGACATCACTCTGCATACCTCACAATTCCACACATGAACTCAGAGGCATGAACCTTCACGCCACAACATGCCTGAAGTTGTCACAAGGTCATGCGGCAGTGAGGTGACGTCTGCACGGTGCGGTAGTGTCAAACCTCAGGCACCGTGACACCTTGGGTTTGGGCTCCTTACACCTGCGTAACCCTGTATGCACATGCATTGTGAGAGCCCACAGAGATGTCATGGCCACAGAAGAGTTCTCATATTTATGCTACAAGTCACCAAGCATGGACAGTCATTTCTTCTCCCGTAATCGAGAAAACGCGGTCAAAATATTCATAATCTCTTGAACTGTGAACATTTTTTCAAACTGGCTTTTTGACGATGGTTTCTTTGACTGTTCCTCTTGCTACGGGTAACCCTAAACACAAAACGCCTCTCCAAATTTTTGTCCAGAAAGGGGTAACCTGGGGTAGACCCAGGTTGATCCACACAAGGTTCACACAATCTAGGTTATGCGGACCTCCTGCGGTCGTGACTCCACCCTTGGTAAAGGTGGACACAGATGAAGAAAACCCTCTCCTTTTGAGGCCTGGACACCTTGTGTTTTGTCAAAGAATTCGGCTCTGAAGAACTTGCAAAGTTCAGGTTAAACTAGTCATTGTTTTCACCGCTGATGGGAGTTATTCGTTGTATATATTTTGTGGCGACATAACTGGAAATTTCTCGTTGTAGATTTGTTCCACATTTTTCTGTTCAAGCATTATAAAACTTTTGTAGTTTTAGTATTTTTTTTACTCATTTCATTTTTCTTTGGAATATCAACTCAGATATTTTTAAGCACAAGACACAGTATATCTTTCCTGTTTTTCTTAAGTACCATAGGTGCAGACTTAGATAATGGGTGAAATGCCCCCCGTCATTGGTCAAAATTAACCATGAAATCGATGCCCACTGATGAGAAATTTAAGAATGATGCATCTCATTTTGGGGCAAGTAAGTAGGAAGAATTTAACAGAAAAAGTGGTATTCAGGGTTGTAAAGGGTTGAACAAACAAGTTGCTGAGTACTAAACCGACTGACAAATTTTATGTGCCTTTTGCGTAAAAATGTTATGTCCTGATTTTTAAAACGAAAGTCGTGATTACAAAACTTACAGTGAAGAAGTTGACACTTCTCTGTTTTACTTTCATCACAGGTATTTGTAGTTATATACTCAGCTGAGTAAATGTGAATTAATTCAAAAAGTGATCAACTAATTGCTTTTGCGGCTTTGCTTTAAAATTTGAAAAGTGACACAAATTACTTGTCAGAAATCTTGCCTTGGCTGCTTTTTTCTTATCATAAAAATTATGATTTGGATCAAAATACTTTGATTTTGATCTAGTCCTGAAAATGTCACTTTCTTTTCCGGCATAACGATTGTTCAAACCAGACAATCAGTTTGATTTATTGTATAAACTTTTTTAACAGCCCTGCGTACTGATGACGTATTAGTGTGTTTACCGCAGTGCATTGTGGGATAGAATGGGGGTCAGCAGTGTTTACCCTGTTATTGTGAGCATAATGAGCACGATTATCTCCGTTTCCACAAGGCAATCTTCAAGGACATTGTTCTAACCAAGTGGGAATGGTAAGGGTGCGCCGTCACTTTCATGTAAACGTGTACTCTTGCTGTTTCTCCCATACATGATGGCATATGATGACCCCATCCTATCCCACCATGCATTGCAGTAATCACAGGATGTCATCAGTACGGATGGACGTTGTTTGGTTTTTGTATTTTAGTGACCTTTTCTCTGCAAGTGCAAGTATGCGTTAGTTTCGTTTGCACGTCTCGTAGTGAATACTTAAAAGATGCAGTCTTTTATTTCAGAAGTTCAGCTTTTGCAAAAAGGAATCATTTAGTTTGCAGTTGTACGTCTTGCTGAAACTTCTTTGGGAATTTGTGTAAAAATGAGGGATTTTACATTGCTTTTTCCCATTCCAGAGGTATTTTACACAGTAAAATTCTACTGCGACAAATAAATGGCACACTTGTCAAATACTGTTCCAGTTGTTGGTATCATTTGCCGAGTCGTACCGGCATCAAGGCCATGTGTGAATTACTCAGCTGTGGCTAGAAACGATGTAGACTGATGCCATCTTGAATAAGGCTTTTACCAAAGCCGACGTTCAGACCGCGAGTTTTCCATTCTACAGATGTCTAAAATCACATTTTCACAAATTCTCTCAAACGCTCATGATTGAAATTCTGCACCTCGTGCTTCTGATATGATTTTAAAGTTACCCAGTACATTGTATTAAGCATTAAGAGTACACCAAATGAAAACATTCGCCTCCATGCCATCTCGGCTTGACGCATTGTTGGAATAGTGTGGTTTTTTATTCACGTGATCATCTACTTGCACTACCACTAGCCCCGCTTGATATTTCATCTACAACTTCTCGACGTCACTGATCTGAGTCATGTATGGAATACAATTGCACTTGTGTGTTTAATGGTACATTGTGAAACAGGAAATTCACGAGTGGAAGGAGAAGAGAGTATATTTGGGGCAGCATGTTCAAAGTGTAAGGGCTAGACCCAGTTTCACAGACCTGCTGAGAGAAACAAATTGTTTTTGTGAACCAAAATCCAACCAAAAGTTGAAGCCGTGTGGCACAATTTGCTGGTTACTGGTTTCATTAGGCACGGTCATCTTGTGTGCTCAAAAAGTTTGGTCCAAATCTCATTCACAGACATAATTGGGTTTCCCAGAATATCGGCATTTTCAAAAATGTTCAGGGAAACGTGAGCTTGTGTGATATATTTAGCCTCAAATACACAGCATTTAAAATTTTAAGTTTTGGTTTAAATATCCTGATTGATGCATTTTACTCGATGTAACATTGGCTCTTTACGTCAAAAAGCTCATGCAAAATTCAACCACATGTATAAAACTTTGAAAACACTAAATCAAAGTAATGCAAATTTAAACGAAAAGAAAAAACTATATTATATCATTTATCAAAAATTATTCTGCACAACAACATAAAACACAAGAGTTGAACATTCTGAAGTGATTAAGTTGAACTCAGGTTTGGAACAAAGGTTGCAAATGAATGAAATTTTTCAACAGTACCCAAATAAGAACAGCGACTAACTTAGAAACAGTACTTAAATGCACAGTTATTATAAGAAATCTGTTTCAATATAATGGTTATGATCATCTTGAAATGGAAGACCAATTGTTTCTAGCAGTAAAGAAGAAATTACACTACGGCAAGCAGCTTTTTGAAACGACTTCAAAAATTTGTCTGAAATGGCCATGCATTTAGGGAGCGGACCTCATGTCACAAACTTTGTCTGCCACTAAACTCAAACATTTAGTTTCCAGCTTCATCTGCAGTCATGATCCAAACCCTAAAATGTACATAACAGAGGCTTTGCATGGTAGCCATCTTGCAGGGCAATTTGTTCAACAGGGAAACCTCCTTTGTGCATATCCTGTGGAACAAAAGGACTTGACACCAAGATGGCAGTTATGCAAACCCTCTGTTGGGAAATTTTCATTCATTTCCCCTGAATAACATTCCAGATGGAATGGTACCCTTTCCATCTTAAAAGTTTCCCTGGGAAACACTGTCAAGGGACCCTTTTTAGTGTCTCCAATGGCACATTCTTTGTACTTAAACTGGGACACCACGGCCATAGAACAGTAAAGCGGCTTTACTCTCCAGAATACAGCAAAGTGCAACATAACTGGATTGGAGTATTTCACAGTTAACTGGGGATGACTTTCATGAAATAGGTTTTATGGGCAGTTATCACAGTCGGCTTCATCTCTGTCAAGAGCTCTGTCTCGAAAATCAGTCCCCCAGTGTAGGCCTCTACAGTTCAAATTAACTAGAAATACTTCAACGTTTCACTCTGTTGCTTGGAGTTCAAAGTTCAGGAACAACTTCACTGTTGGGGGGGGGGTTAAATATCATGTGAAGGCTGAGACAGATACGGTGCCAAGCATTGATGCTTTGCATGGTAGCCATCTTGCAGGGCAGTTCTTTTGTTCTACAGGGAAAACTTCCTTTGTGCAGACCCTGTGGAACAAAAGCACTGGCCTGCAAGATGGCAGCCATGCAAACCCTCTATTGGAAAATTCTCTAAACTTGCATTTGAGGTGACAACCAACAGTGCAACATGTACATGCTAGCTACTACTTTAATAACATTGTGATGTACTGTACCCAACACATCCGAGAACAAAAATGGAAGTGAAACATGACTTATTAGTTTCTAAGCATGTACCACAATGAGCCGAAGAAAAGTGTCCAATGTATATACGAGATTCTATTGTTCTGTTTTCATTCAATATATCAAACTAAGCATGCATAATAGTGAAACTGTTCTGAAAGCAGAAATCGTTTTAAATAATATGAAATGTCACTGGAATAACTTTTAAATGCTCTTCTGTAGAACGACCACCTTACCTTTTTACCTTCCCTAGATTATATGGGCGCTCACAGTGGTGTTCTTCCCAACAAATATTCCAAGGCATCACTGTACAGTGCAACCCAATTTTTCAGCACAAATTCATGTTATGTTCCTGTTTGTATACCAGGTCCCAGACTTGAAAACTCTGCCCACAAGTGACATCCCTCAATGGTAACAAATACAGAGTGCTACAAATGAACAACAAAGGTGCATGGATACCAGGCACAAATTGGCAAATACCACTATCACACTGGTACCCATATCCTCTTGCATGGAATACAACAGGGGGATAGGTGCACCGGGGGCCAGCCAAATACAAGCCTTCCCCTGTGCACAAGCACAGAAGATTCCTGTTTGCAACAGGGGGACCAGTGTATTTGGACCTGTGACAGCTGCCTTGCATTTGTCTCAAATAAAGCCCATAACCCTGTTTGTTTCACAACGTAGATTCGGATCTCAATCAGTGATTGCAGTACTGGATAGCACCATCCATTACGATCTGGCATTAGTGAACCAACTTCGGATCACTAATTGCGATCCGGATCCGCGCGTAACAAACTGGTCCTAAAGTGAAAGAGACATCTCAGCTACTGAAGGTTCCGACCTTGGACTTAATCACACCATACGAGACTGGTGCCTCCACTTTGCACAAACATTTCCACATAACTTATTTCTTCAATGACTATTGACTTCCTGGATTAAAATATATTCATAAAGTGCAAAGTAACGACAAAGAATTCATATTTACACACAGCCAGATGATCCCCAAAAAAGAAATATGTAAAGCGAATAAAATCTCATCTTTTAGTAACCACTCAGCAAGAACAACTTTACGTTCATTTTTTTGGTTTATTCCTGATAATTTGCTGTTAATTTTAGGCTATTCCAAAAGATAAATCCATCCCAAAAAACGTCGGCCCCAGCCTCTGTGCAAGTGGGGTGATGTTGCTCTAAATCGGCCGTTTTTGCAGATTCAATTTCTGAAGAAATTAAGGTCCACATTCGAGATCTCCCCTCCAACTGCTGCTGTCGTCAGCCAAAAGTGAGAGAATCTTTACATGAGCGCTTCATCAGCATTGCTGACATGGGTGCTGCCAGGATTTTTTTTTGGGGGGGGGAGGATTTTCTGGGGGTCAACGATGCACTTATAAACCATTAACAGTATAAGAGGTCGATTTTGAGGTTTTTCTTCCGAGCAAATAGGTGAATTTCACCCCCTTTCATACTTTTTATATTTTCTTTTACATTTTCTTCCCTTTTTTTTAGGGGAAAAAGAGCCCCCCTTTTCCCCCTAGGATCCCCATGATTGTGGTGTAAAAGACGCAAATCTTCAGGGACATTCTCAGCAGAGAATAGCCAAAGAATTATATAGTGCAGGAAATTGCAGCCAGTAACCAGCTGATCTTCTGCATTCAGCAACATCTTGGGGTGTGTTTTCGACAGCCCTGAACCTGTCTTTCCGTTCTGGTCATTGGTTAGAGTGTTTTTTTTGCGGCATGGGTTATTCTGCTTGTGTGATGTCATCGTCCTGACTGACCAAACAAGAACCTGAAAATTGGAGCTGGTTCGTCATCGGTTCAAAATGGTGAAAAATGAGCAGGCATTCTCTCAGTGTTAATCGTGTATTTCCAACTCTGATGTTACGTGCAGCAAATCAGAAGGGGAGCACGCGTTCTGAGAATGGGACAGAAGGGAGCAGCAGTGGAAAGAAACTATGCCAAATACTGACTGGAAATGGCATCAACACTAACATCCTGCCACCTTGTGCTCTGTCATAACGACAACTGACGTAACTCTTTTGTGGTTCTTTGGTTTTGGGTTTTATAATGTACTGTTTTAATGTTTTGTTTTGTTTGTTGTTTTTGGTTTGGCACGGGCTCAAACATGTTTTTGGTAATCGCTTTGATGTAACGAACATGCTTCTGGTTATATCAGGAGTCACAAAAACACACCCCTGCACTAAGCAGCTCCCTGGAATCGTCCCCAGGTTGCTAATATCAGACAGCTTAGTCAGTCTAATTACTATGTGCAAAATGAAAAAATGTAAATTTTTTAAAACTCTGTTTTGGTTAAATCTTAATGGTTTTCTTAAACTGCTTTCATTTTAAGATATCAGTTCCAGATAAGTGAGCGGTACCCTGCCCTGCTGGCTCCCTCTCTCTGCCATCATCCAATCTTTGTCCATGCCAGGCAGGCTGTACACTGTGATCACCTGTGGGGCAAAGGACACAGATGTGAGACCAGAAGCCAGACTTCCACTTTGAAATGCTAACAGTCAAATCACATGCCAGAGTTCATGCCCAAATTAGGCAAGAATTTGAGCAAACAAGTGTCTCCATCTTGACTTCTAGAAATATGGGTTGCCAGTGTGGAAGAGAATGCTATTGAAAAACATTTGAAACTGCTCATCAGCATGTGCCGCTGAATATTAAACAATTTCATGATCTAATGTTGCCCGCTACTTATCACACTTTTCACTTCTAACCCAACAGGCCCAACTGAGCTGTACTTTTCATTTAATTATCTATAGCAAAACAAAAAACCCAGTGTGTCAAAATGATCGACAGTGTGCACAAACATACAAAAATACTGGAAATAGAAGCACAGAAATATATCAGCAATCTTCTCACATCACTAAGCTTTCTGATTCATAGTTGTGAAAAGCTTTTGAATCATGTGCAGGACTTCTCAAAAGTCATTCACCCATTGCAATGTTTGCCTTGCTAATAGAGGCACGTAGGGTTATGACAGCTAGAGCAATGAGAACAAGCCAGATGTGTTAGTTTGCTCTCGATTCCCTTTTTTGTCCGACAGCCTCCTACTTGGAATTTAGACATCTAGTTCCTTCATGTCTGTAGCCCACAAATCCAGTTTTCTGATGGAGCATGTGTTGTTAGCATTAATAATATTTTGTACGCAACAAAAACTGATATATTAAACCGTATGCCATGAGGCATTTCAGAGAATCTAAGAAAAGTTATGAAATGGTGAACTGCACATGATCGAAAACCCGCCATCACTTTCCACCTCCCTCTGTTGTACTCTCATGCAGTTACAAGCATTTCCGCATTTGCAGGCACCATGCATATTCATGAGGGTTAGAGAAGCAACCCCAACCAATCACAAGGGTGGAAACAACAACTAATGCTACAGTGAAAAGAGCTGTCAATCAATGACTCCATGTCCCTCTCTGAGAAGTGTCAGGGTTAGTTTGACTAAGCAGATGGAGTAGAAAATACTTGACACTACCAGAGTATTAAAAGGACTTTAATAAAAAGAATATGCTTGCCAATTACACATTTCTGGGACGTTTTGGAGGCAATATTTCTCTAATCACTTGTTGGAAATGTAATGCCAAGTCTATTTTGTGTTACAGGCTTTTTTGTCAAGGTGAATTTCTATGTCTCGATGTCAAACTTGCGTACCTCATCTGCAAGACAGGACAGTTCTGTTGGGTCTGACGCATCGTAGTCGTACAGCACCCGTGCCTTTCTTCTGCCACTTTGTGCATCTGTGGGGCTGTCTTGCAGTATGTCGCCCCCTATAGGCGGGGCGGAGGGGCTCGAGGGATTGCCCACGGCCTGGGGTGGGTTATACGGTCGGATGTTACCCAGCGACCCGGGAATGCTGTGTCCGGTGGTGTCATTGGCGAGCAGGGTGGAGGGAACAGAAAAGAGGGAACCCGGGGGAAAAGGGTGGGGGATAATGACGAAGAGCCAAAGAAAGAAATGAAAAGAGAAAAGCTGAGCCACGTCTGATGACACATGGATATCATGCAGGTGATTTGAGTAGCGGAGAGCATGTGGTCAACTGTGCAATTCTTTGTTTCCACCAGCTGAACAGTTTTCCTACAGCAAGTTTTTGCTACAATAGCCCCCCCAAAACGAAAGCATGCAGTATTCGATGTTTTCCATTGGTAATGCCCCCCCAAAAAAATCAAAACGGCTGGCAAAAATCAAATAGTGCATTTTCTTTATTAAACAGAAAACAGAAACCCTCCATGTGCATAACCTGATGGGCCACACCAGGACTGTTCAGAGAACAAACAAATGGCTTCAATCCTTGTTGCCAAGGCAACCGATGCACATTGACAGAATGGCCTGACATAATTTGTGATCATGCACATGGAAATTTTTAATGGCCTTTTGAAAATGATAAACATGCTGCAGTGCTTTCGTTTTGAAAGCGTCGTTTTGGCAAAGTTGTAGTCGAATCTGTTGTTAAATCCACTCATCTGTCAATTCACAAGTCTGATCTCAGACAACTTGGAATGCCTTTGACGGAATTTATTCAAACAGCTTTTGCCCTGGGCTCAATTTCACGGCACAACTACGCACATGATTTTAAGCTATAAACAGAGGCTCTGTCTATTTCATGACGACCGTAAGCAGTAAGCACGGTAAAAGGCACACTTACCTTGGAGGGAAAAGCTGCTTAACAAAATGACAAAACAAAAAAAATTTGTGCGCGCAACTGTAAGCACAACCATGTCAATTAACCATCGCCATGAAGTAGTGCTTATGGTTAGCAAAATTTTCTGCTATAGTAACCACAACTTTTCTGCTAACTGTTGAGCAGCGCCATGAAATTGGGCCCTGACTTCAGACTGGGTGACCGGAGCGATAATTTGGTGCTCTAGTGTACTGCCTCAACAAAGTTTAGCTGGTGCACGCAGAGAATGCATACGCCACAACTGCCCTCAGCTACGCAAAACCCACCTTTTGCTGGTGACCTTTCACCTTTGACCTTTTACCCTTCTTGTGCTTCCAGGGCCACTTGCGGGGCCTTTCCACCATCGCTTCTATTGGTATTAAATCAAACACACTTTTTGCCATTTCTTTCCCTTTTTTTTGCCTCAAGAGATGAGGCACTGTTACAACTGGCATTGGAGGACATAAGAATGTCCAGTGTAGGACAATGCTGTAGTCAGGTCCTCAGAAGTCAATCACAAGTCCTCACAAGTGCATAGTGAATCTGTCACAAGTCATACAAACTCAGATCAAGTCAAAAGTCATTCAAACACATGGTGACACAGGCGACACTGTTACACTGTTCCTCCCTTGTTTCTTGGAACAAGACTTTGGATTTGACTTGTGAGGGGATCCGACTACAACACCAGCACAAGACCTAAAAACAATGCCAATCGGGGAACAAGACTTTTGAGTGGACTTGCGAGGGGATCAAACCACAGCACTGACAGGACAGGACCTTAACCCTAACTCCCCAAGGGTTGCTGGACCTAACCTTCCCCATTCACACAAAGTTAAACACCCATATGGGACTTTGCGCACAGAGGCTGTTGGACTTTGTTTTTCTGAGGTATGCCAAACCCAATGCAAAAGCCAGCTGTCTGGGCCTACCGGACCTATCCCCACAGAATTAAACACTTTACTACTGTTTTATTCTGTGTGGTTGGGGAAGGTTAGGGTTAACAAACAATGCCAATCAGGGAAGGGGACATTCAACTCTCCAAATAAAACAAACAGCCGTTTCCAAAATAAAGCCCACTGTCATCAGTTCGCACAGTGGTCCGGCCACGAACGACTTAAAACATCGTGGACGTATGCTGCATGAAGGAGAAGTTGAACCCCCAACAGAGCAGCGCATGATTTTAATGGAGCACAGACAGTGGTCATACTGCTGCTATACATTAACAGAACACACGCAGGTTGCGCAGGTGATTCTCAAGCAATCTCAACAACCCAAGAAACACAGATTTCAACCAGTCATGTTTCTAATATTTTCTGTCAGCTGCTATTATCGAAATGAGACGGCAGCTCTTCAAATGGTTCTACTGGTCTACAAAACATTTTAAATCAGCCCACCAAAATTTCTTCTTTTTTTTTTTTACAGGAGTGTAATAAGGACCACATTTTTCTGCCAGATGGCATACATAAATGTACGGTGATTTTGATTAATAACAAAGCTCTCTATCTGTAAAACAGCCTTAAGGCAGAGGGGGATTGAAGTCTATGTGTACTGGTTCTGATTAGGACACTTTCAGATTTGGACAAAGTCCAAAGCAGGGATCATCATATCTGACTAGTGACATTCGCTGTGAGATCCCATTGGCAAAACAGGAAATCACAGCCTAAAATTCGGCCACAATTTCACATGTATTGTATCCAGCAAGTGCTCATGCATAATGCATAAGATCCGCCTCTTCCGTGGGTTTAGGTGAGGGTTTACTGGCGGGAACCGAATTCCCTCGCAACTTGGGACTCACTTTGCCATCTGGATCTGGAGCTCTGTCATGGCCTTCTGGCACTGCTCAAAGTAGGCCTGCTGCGCCTCGATGAAGTATTGCAGTCGACTGAGATGGTTGGACTGGGCAGAGACAGAGAAGAGAAGCCATCATGGACCAACAGCAGAAAGGTTCAAGGTTAATTTGAGTCATGACTGAACCATAATGCTATACTGATTTTCTTTACATCATTTGAAATTCTCCAAAATCTTCCACAGTGTAGGAAACCAATGGCACATTCTCTGTACTTTTCTCTATACTTTTCTTGAAATCACAGGTGACTCAAGGCCCTAGTATATGTCATATCACAGGTTAAAGTCACTAGCCTTTTAAAAAGATTAAGACAGAAGGGAATCATTGGCCTGACAACCGTCAGAGATGGCAGGGACCATGAACATAACGAGAGCGCAACCAATGGCAAGATGTGAGCGATGATGGGACTTTGCAAAGCTACTCGACTCATGTAATTCAAGCAAGACTGATGGCGTATTTGCAATGGTGAGAAGCAACTAGCCAGAGGCTGAAATACAGTTCATGCCTAACTTGCCCACTTTTTGGAGCCAGGCCCAAAGAGCCAATGAAATGTTCTCAATACCCTTGCCTGCCTATTGGTCACTTATGGATGGCGCTAAATGTCCTCAGATCGAATCCAACTTACATGGGCACTGCTGATACCTTCCAGAAGAAGTTTGGTGATTTCATACTGACGGTCAAACTCGGACTGGGCCACACGCAGCTCGGCTTCAGCCTGGGCAGTAAGTGGAAAGAGTAATTGGTCAGTTATTACCTGAAGCACTTCCGTACATTCCTGTTTGTGCACGACAAAACATGTATCTTCCCAAAGCTTTCCGCATTCTCTTAGAGAAAGGCCATAACTGTGAGAATGTGACGGTAATCCTGAGAATAAGGTCCGAAACTGGATTTCTGATTTCAGTTTAGTTTGAGTAGGTACAAGAGTAAGAATTTCATTTTGGTTTAAATATAAAACTTCCAGCACATTGTCATTGGTGGTGTAAAAGCCACGTTCAAAAATTGTAATCAAATTTTATTTCACAAGACAAACCCACAAGACCACAACGTAACAACATCTGATTGCAACATACAATTACAAACAATTCAAATTTATGTTTTGTATAAACAAATCACACATACATTTACATATCCAAAGTCATCTCCATTTGTACTAAGGGTGGAACGTTTACACATTTAGACAAAAAAGTTCTAAATCCGTTTTACAAATTTTCCCAAACGTTCAAACGGAACCATCCCATTTTGGAGGTTTGTTGGTTTGATTGATGCAATCTGGCGTTCATTTTATTTTTATTGTAAACAATGCCTGTTAAATACTGTTTTTCCCCTTTCGGCATCCATGTACTTTTTGAGAAAAAAATTGGATTCTAAAACAATAAACATTGCTTGTTTTCAATGCCCCAACATCAATCAATACATTTACATAAATTGGATCATGTGCATTGTTGAACTACATAATTATGCATACATAAAACACCAAGGTAGGCCACGGCAGCTTCTATAAAGTGTTGGGCTAAACATTTAAACAGTGTGGGGAAGTTTTTCTGAAATGTTTTTCAAATTAAATGTAAATTCCCACCCTTAATTTGAACAGAGATTCTCTTTAGACACAAAGAACACCGTAGACAGTAAATAATACGGAATATTAAACACAACTGGTGATATACTGCCTGTGTTGTTTTCTCATTAGCATTCCGAGTCATTCCACTTCACCTGTAAACACATAGGGTTTACATGACACATAACTTTATATCTTAACACAAGGAGATCACAAGGATGGACAACGGTTGATCAAGAATAATTTTTTTTTGTGGGGGGGGGGAAATTCAGGAATTTGCTTTAAATTTAAGGGCCTCTCTTAGGGACAGGGCTACACATCGTGGCTTTTTACATGCTTTTACAAGGGAAGTAAACCAGTGTCCAGCAATCGTCCTTATCTCAGTATTTCTTCTTCTTTTTTCAGCGCCCCTCTGAGCGAGGGGTCACCCCTCTTGAGCAATACTATGATCCTTGCCACTTTCTCCTCCTCAACTTCTCCCCTTACACATGTTGTCACAAGGCCAACATAAACAGAGGCGCGTGACACGAGCAATAGAAAAACCAACCAGAACAGGCATGCGTATACCAAACTACCAGCAGAACTACACAAAAAACACAAGCGCTGCGTCTAAATTAAAGCGCATGCCACAGCAGAAACAGACAGGCTCACTGAATACTCCTTTTACATGAGAAAGATACGTGTGTGTATCAAGAACAGGTAAGTCCGAGGGCTGTAAACTGCCGGAAAATTGAGGAACTCAGAAAGAGAGTACCCGAATGTAATAGATCGGCCAAAATCTGAGGAAAAAAGTTTCAAAAGCAGGCTACTACTCACACACACAACACTCAACGCGCACCTCCATTCTGACGAAGAGAGACAGACAGAGACAAAGGGCAAAACCTGACTTTTTTTATCAAAGAGTATGGGGAACATTTTCAATTTTTTGGCAGGTTTGGGGGTTGTCATTGCTTATTTGGTGACAAGGTTTTCAACATTTTAACTCTATTTCACCTTTTACTTTGCAAATAGTTACTTTACTGTTTTTCCCAGTGAACATTTTACAGTTTCAATTCTTCATGATTTTGTTCAACCCTCCTATGCTGAAGTCACTCTTTGGGTAACTTGGTGAACACCTCAAAGAAGCACAGCTGTGTGGTGTTGTGCACTGCATTAACCCTCCGATGCTGAACTCACTCTTTGGGTCATTTGGTGAACACCTCAGAGAAGCACAGCTGTGTTGTGTTGTGCACTGCACCAACAGTCCCTCATAGGAATATCAGATTGCAC